CCAGTTCTCGCAGGGATGACAATGACATTGGCTCTAGTGCATATGACCTCAAAGGCAGTAACAGGAAAGCGTGATCCACTTTAGGCTGGTGGTGGCTCAGAGAACTAAGCCCAAGTTTCTAAACTGGGAAGCATCCCAGTAATGCAAGTGTATTAGGGAAAGAGCATTAGGTTAATTTTTTTATTCATTGATCCAGTCATTCGATGTCTATTTCTTGGTCACCTGTGAGGCACCCAGTGCAGTGCTGCAGGCTATACTTGGGGTGCAGTGAAGCCAGCTGTCATGTCACTGTCATCTCTTCAGTGACTCCTCTCCATTGGAATCTGCTGCTATAACTGGGTATTTTGTGCCATAGAGAAGGAGGAAAGGATGAGGATCGGTAATGAGGACAAGCTAGGATTTTATGTATCAAGATGGTTGTGTGGTGATGGTAAGAGCTGTCTCTTGGGTACCTTTTAGAGGAGAGGAACATAAAGCTTTTAAAAGAGCCCTATTTTCCAGTGAGTGTCAGGACTGACGGTTGCATTTGTTTTGTGGTCAAGAGAAGGCCCTGCTGAAAACCCAGGGGTCCAGGCGGTCATTGGCATGCAGGGGCCCTCAGCTTCAGCTCTGGGAACAATAAATTAGGTGGATCTTGCTGAATAAGGAGCCCTCTCCAGCCTGTCATGTCAGGGCCACATATCATTTGGGATTCTGCAGTTAATGGACTGCTACTCTACTTTCTTACACTTGTAAAAACCATGCTCTAGTAGCATTGTTGGACTTGTCTGGGTTGTGTCTGGTTGTGCCTGTGCCACATCAGGCATTGTGAATACACGGTCCCTCTAGTAAAAGTTGGGGGTGTCTGACTTTGGAAGAGAAGGAATGTGTCCATGAACTTTAACTTCTCTAGAAACAATGCTAAAAGCAGGTTTGGTGGCTATTGTTGCTGTATTTTTGTAAGAATATGAACTTCTGTGGAGTCTTGTTGAAATACAGCAGCCATGTACATTTCTGTAACTTATTCCGTAGGACCCTACCTGCTGATTCTCATTCTCTCAAGAGCATAAATTAAGTCATATGGCTGTGGCCTCGCTTTGAGGTTGGGATGGGGAGTGGGATGATCAATGGGGCTTGCTATCAAATCCCCTGTTGTTCTGCTCCTTCTTTTCCTTGTCATTCTCTCTGTTTATGTTATTTGCACAAGCTTGGGGGACCAGAGGCAAGAACTGGCATTTGGATTAATGGCTAGATAATCCAGAACAGTCGAAGAACCAAGAAATAATATTTATGTTCTGTTCTGAGTTATATATTTTTATGGACTGATGGTGAGAGAAATAATGACTTAAGTACATACTTCTCGCACTGATATTAAAATTAGCTACTGTTTGCGTTTGCTGAGTGCACATCAACCATGGTGGTGGGAGAGTGTAGTGAGTCAAGGGTGAGTCTGGTGGAAGGAAAGAAACCACAAACTCCATTGTTGCTGCTGGCTTCGCTCAAAGTAGAGATTCAAATTAGCATATACTATCTGAATTAAACAAATTATACTTTAAAGAAATTAGGCAGGTCTACATTTGAGGAAATCTGATTATAATGACTTGTAAAGGAACTTATTGCCAACAAAATTTTGGGTTTGATCTGCTTAAAGCATGATATACCTGTCTATGTGATAAATCATTTTTTTTTGAGAATAGAGACCTGGATAGAGAGTAGGATTTAGTTCTTAGAATGCAGAGCTTAGAGTTTTAGAAAGAGAGGTATTTTATCTAGGTCAGGTATTATTACTTTTGATATCTTTGCCGTTTACCCAAAATGCTGTCTCAGCTGTGTGTTTGAGGCAGCCCTCCTTCCCTGCTTTCTCTTTCCCCTGGTGTGTCTGTTGTGTGCTGTGTGTCTGGGATGACCACAGATGCTAAGGTTATGAGGGTGAATGGTTAGATGTGATTTCTGCCTTTGTGCAGCTCCGGGTCTAATAGGAGAGATGAACAAAGGAAACAGATAACCACTGGACACGTGCATTTTCTCTTTTGATATCAGAGCTAGCCCAAAGACCCTGAAAATAATTCCACTGCCTGTCCCTTGGAGATGTTTACAAATTGCTCCATGATTTTTATCATTACACTCTTTTACCTTTTGGAATTAGTATCATGTTGGCTCTTCCGGTGGTATCACTGTTCCAAAGGAAACCATGAACCACTCATGCTGCCCAGCCCAGGCTCCTGACTTCCATAGTCACCTCTGGGGCTGAGGCTTGGCTAAGTATTTTCCAAGAGAAAAGCAGTCAATTAGGACAGGGCACCTGCCACTTCTCGTTCGTTTTGAGCCAAGGAGTGGGGTGAGTATCTAACAGCCTGGGGTGGGCCCAGCTTCAGTCTGGAGTCGAGGTTGACCTCCTAAGGGGGGGAAGATGCCTCCTGGCTTTTGTGCTGCAGCTCTCTCTGGTGTTGCTTGCCAGCCAGCCTTCAGGTTTTAGCCCTTACCTGTCTTTAGGTGGTCCCCTCCTACCACCTCAGAGCAATGCTCCTTGCCCTTGGCTCAGGGCTGGGAGCAGCAGTGGGGGCTGGCTGGGGAGAAGGGCTGGGCTGAGGTGGAGGCGAGATTATTGCCTGTTACACATGGACATCTAGACGGGGGAAGAAACATAACAGCTTTATTTTTAGGCTTTGCTAATTCTCACTCTTCTCCTAGTTCGCTGCTACCTGGCAACAGCTTATTGTCATGGCAACGCCAGTGTTAATGAGTGAAGCTCTCTGTGTGTCTGTTTTACCCGGTGCTCCGTGACAGACACTTTGTGTGGAGCTATCCTTCTGGCCATCGGAGGCTAAATGCTAGACTCCCTTCTCTTCCAAAGGCCTCCCAGGCCCTGTCCCTGAAGAAGAGGAATGGAGGCAGCTGCCGAGGGATTTCTGGTTTTGCTTACACATTCCTAATATATTCTGTGTTTACAGATGGGCCTGCCGGCTTCACACACTGCCCCTCCCCACACCGGGCCAGCCCCTCTTGACATGTTTCAGTGGCAGATATGAGCTTTTGAACAATAACCAGTTTTCTCATGTTCCAGGCACCTCGGGATTTTTATGCAGGTTTTCTGGCACCTTCTCTGTACTTGGTCATCAAGGCTGTGAATCCTGGGTCCTGAAGAGGAGGGGGATGGTTGCATGTCTCAGAGGGGACCTAGGGCTTACATCTGTGAGTGACAGCCCACATCCCTCTGCCTTCGGACTGAGAAGCAGTAATGCCACTGTACAGTCTTGTCTTGGTTTCCCTGATATCTGTTGATAGAGGTTGCCATCTATGGCCTTACAATTATATGAGATGTGCCTCAGTTCCCCCCACTCATAAATTAAGAAGAGTAATCAGGTAAAATATGGGTCAGATTGCTTAAAGCAGTGTTTGACATAAAATAATGATTCAATCAATATTAGTTATTATTGTGTCTGGGCATTATTCACTCCACACACCAATTTTGTGAAATAAGTACTGTTCCTGTTCTCAAATTGCAAAGAAGGAAACTGAGGCATGAAGAGGTGGGACAACTGCCTCGGGGTTACTGAAAGTGACAGACTTCAGTTGGGAGCCGTGGGCCACTGAACTTGGAGGGGCTTACCCTCCATGCTCCTCAGGGTCGCGGTCCTCACAGCTGTAGAGAGCTGCTCCCTTCTCCTGAGGGTGGCCTTGGGGCCTCATGAATGTGCATGAGCACTTGGTACTCCTTGGATAGAAGTTCTTTCTGAACCAGAGAGTTACAAGCTTCACCAAGTGTCATCTTCAGGGAGGTGGCTCTTAGCTGTTTACGGCTTATCTTGAGGTTGGCACTGCAAGGCTCCATAATGAGCGATGGAGTCGGGATTTTTGCACCCCCTCCGCATGGCCCCTGACCATTCTCAGGACACAGGGTCCTTGGCAACTGCCTCTCTATTGGGCTATGAAGCATATCACCACTCATGTACTCCCACTAGCTCGCCCAAAGTTTTCACCTCCTTTCCAGGGCTCTATTTTTTCCCCAAACTTCTTCTAAGTAAATTATTCTATGTATTTTTTTTTTTAAAGTAGCAGATTCACATAGTACCAAAAAAAAAAAAAAAAAAAGAATACAAGAAAGGGCATACTGTGAAAAGTCTCTTTTCTTCTTTGCTCCTCTCCTCTAGAGCCTGTCCTGGTAGGAGACCTACACATTGGAGAACATATACATGTATATTGACATCTTTCACCCCTGACATGAATGCATACACATTCTACTCTGCATTGCTTTTTCCCCCCACCTGGCTGTACCTGGGAAATTGCTGCATATCAATACACAATTAATGAGAAGTGACCTTAGTCATTTTCAATAGACAACTCTAAAGTTTTATTGGGTTTTTATTCTAGGTTAATAAGTTTGTGAATAATTGTGATGGAAGCTTAAGAAAGCCTAAACACCAGCAATAAGTTAACAGAAACAGTTTTCTATTATTTTTTTTTTAAATGTTTTATATCTTTCTGAGAGAAAGACAGCGTGAGCTGGGGAGGGTCAGAGAGAGAGGGAGACAGAATCTGAAACAAGCTCCAGGCTCTGAGCTAGCTGTCAGCACAGAGCCCGACGCGGGGCTTGAACCCATGAACCGTGAGATCATGACTTGAACCGAAGTCAGATGCTTAACCAACAGAGCCACCCAGGCGCCCCAACAGTTTTCTATTATTGAGTGTCACCAGAATAATAATACCAGGATTCTTTTTCATCCCTCAGCCATTCTTTTAACCTGTTGTAAAGCCAAAATGCTAAGTTACAAAGCTAAAAATGAACCTGGGTCTGTCTGCGTCTATATCTCTGTGCCCTTTCTGTCACACTGTTCTCCTTTTCTTATGTAAATACACTCAAAAATGGATCTCAACCACGGGCCTGGGCTGCACTGGCCTCTGCACTTTCCTCAGAGTGACCAGTGTTCTTTAATTTAGTGATGACATTGCTGAATAGTCCCCGTGCCCACTCGCCCTCCCTTCTCCTGCAGGCCCGGCCTTAATCCATGGGCAGACACTTCTGGTTGGCAAACATAATTTATTGATGTGTGAGGTTCATTTGAACTCCATCTCTTCTCTTCTGTGCTGCTTCTGTTTCTTTACCTGTAAATTGTGCAGAACTGTCTCACCCCCACCTAAAAGAGATACTGAAGAGGTGATCAAAATAACGTTCAGCGTCTCCCCTCCTCTCTCTTTCTGATGTTACAAAGGGGTGTCCTTTGGGTCTGGACTTGACCACGCTGTGAGTGGGAAGTCAGGAGGAAGGAGGCATGAAAACCTGGAGGCAACTTGAGTGTGTGTAAGTGATGTTTAGTAGGTGCTCTGCAATGATCCACTGCACAAGATAGACAGAGCCACATGTGGCTGTGTATTTTGGATTTGTTGGTCAGAGATGTCAGAGACATGCCTGTCTGAGGTCCCTCGCTTCAGTGTTCATCTGCTATTTGGAAGTGTTCTGTTGCATTATTCAGGGTTTCAGGCTTCAATTTCCTTACCCCTCACACTGCCTCTCCCTTCCTTTCCGTGAGCTTGCTCACTTCTTAGGATAGATTCTGGTCATCTTTCGTGGTGCCGAGTCCCCCACTAACCTTATTGCTCATGACTTTGTGAGGCTAGCATCGCTGAGAGGGCACAGACGGGTTCAGAGCTGGGCTTGCTCACCCCGGCCACACCCAGACAGGTACTGTCTCCTAGGCAGAGTGCCCTCTCCCTGCCTACTAGGCCTGGTTACATCATGTCCATTCCCTTCTCCCTCTATTGGGGCCACCCTGCACTCTCTGGGCTCTCTGCAGCCCCCTGGGCTCCTCTAGCTCACCCTGTCTTCTCTTCTCTGAACTCCTGCTGCTGCAGTTCCTGGCCCCCAGCACACCTTGGCATTCTGTTATATTAGCGTTTCATGTGGATGGAGAACCAGTCCTTGGGGACATGAAGCTGCTGCTGTGACTGTAGCATGGATGTGTCCGGTATCCTGTTTGGAGGGCTTACCCAAAAAGGCAGAGGATCCCCAAGGTGAGGCGAAGGACCTTAGAGCCCCAGGTCTGCCTGCTGAGAGAGGAGTGCCCTGTGGGGGAGAGAGGAGAGAGAGAGACACTGTCCCAGAGTATGTCCTGCTGCAGCCACTATCATGTCCACCTTTGCTTGTGAAGCTTCTGACTGAGATGTTTAGAACTCAACTTGCTGGTGAAGTCACAAAGCTCCCCTTTTAGCAACACTCTCTGTTGTCAAGAACTCGGTGATCAGAGAACACAGCAGCACAGAGATGCGTTCTAAAGTGTTGGTTACGGAGGGGAAAAGATCAAATATAGAACTGGACAAAGCCACACCAACTGTCCTCAGGACACACCAAAGGAAGTACCTGGGAATCCTGGGTGAGAATGGAGGAGGCCAGGGCCTGGGGGTGTTTTAGGGTCAGAGGAGTGTAAGCAAGACCCAGGTCCTCTGTCCCCTCCAGTGAGTCCAGGGAACCAGCCTCCACATCTCTCTCTCTTCCTGCCCCTGCTGCCTTAAAAGGATTAGCCCTTAAAAGGACTTATAATTCCCTTAAGGACTGAGTAGGCCCAGAATTACCTCCTTACCTGCTTACTCATATCCACATTCCTGCCAAGAAAGAGGCAGGTTCTTATTGCACAATTAGAGATAGAAGGTTTGCCCTGGGGGAGGCAGTGCTCTGCAGTGAGCCTTTCTCATTCAGATATAATCAGGAAAACACTTAGGGTAGTTGACTGGACAGTAAACCCTTTTCACTTTTGATGGGAGAAAAGGTGTTATTGATAGGGCAGACATTTTGTAAATAAAGAGAAGGGACCCCCAAAGAAGAGAGTTAAGAGCAGTGATTCTCACCCTGCAGAATAATAGGGGAGAAGGAAGGCTTTTAAAAAAAAAATCTAATTTGTTTGCCTCAACCCAGAGATTGGAATTTAGATGTCTTCAGTTGGGCCTGGATATTAGTATTTTTAAAAAGCACCCCCAAGTAACTCTAATGTACAGCCAGGGTTGAAAACCATTAGTTTAAAAGTGTTTAAAAACAGAAGGCAAAACATGCAGACCCCAGCATAGAATTTGCTCCGTTTTCCAGACTGGGACCCACAGAAGACATATCCTGATTCTAATTAACAGTGGTACATTCTGAAAAAATACTTCAGGATTTTAAGAAGCTTGAGTGTTTTTAAAAAACTGTTTGTACATCCATGTTCATAGCAGAGTTATTCACAGTAGTCAAAAGTGGAAACAAACCAAGTGTCCACAGACAGTTGAGTGGATAAACAAAATGTGGTATGCACCTGTGATAAAAAGGAAGGAGACTCTGACACGTGCATACTGCAGCATGGATGAACATTGACATTATACGAGGTGAAATAAGCCCAGACACAGAAGGACAAATACTTAAATGGAGGACCTGGGAGGAGCAAATTACAAAGACAAAGCAGAATGGTGGCTTTCCGGGGTGGGGGAGGGGAATTGGGCAGTTACTGTTTAATGGGTACGGGGTTTCTGTTTTGCCAGATGAAAAGTATTCTAGAGATGAATGGTGGTGGTGATGGTTGCATGGTAATGTGAACGTACTTTAATGCTTCTGGACTGTACACTTGGGAATGGTTAAGGTGGGGGTGCCTGGGGACTCATTCGGTTAAGCATCTGACTCTTGGTTTTGACTCAAGTCATGATCTCATGGTTTGTGAGTTCAAGCCCCACATCAGGCTCTGTGCTGATGGTGTGGAGCCTGCTTGGGATTCTTTCTCTCTCCCCCTTTCTCTGTCCCTTCTGCTCACTCTCTCTCAAAATAAATAAATAAACTTAAAAAAAAAAAGAAATGATGCTGAAAAAAATTCAAGATGCTGAATTTTATGTGTATTTTACCACAGTTTAAAAAATTGAATTTCAGATTAATAAGAACTGTTTATTTTAATATTTTGGAAAAACAAATTTATAAAGAAGAAAATTTAAAAATCACCACTTGGTATTTAGATGTGTTCTTTTTCCTGCATGTGTATAAATGGGAGTGCATGTGTGTGCGCACACACACACACGCACACACTTTGGATCTTACTTGATAGATGCTTTGCAACCTGTGTTTTCATTTGGACTAGTTCTGGTTTACTGCACCCTTCTTAGAGATGACTTCATTTCAGGGGAAGGCTAAGTGAGACAACAGCACAGTTGGGTTTGGAGTCAAAAATCGCACTGGATTCATATTGTAGTTGTGACGCTCAGGATCTTTGTGACCTTGGGCCTGATTCTGAGCTCCAGTTTCTGTGTTTGAGGGCTGTTTTGGGAATTAAAGAGATTCCAGGTACCCTCTCAGACCCCTGGGAAAAAGGAAGGATCACTGTAAGCCCCCGCTGATGATGCACTTATTAGAGGCATCTACTTGGTACTGTCTTCCTCTAAATTTCCCACAGGGGGGTGGGAAAGCATTCACCTGAGATTTAGGAAATCACTGTGGCTGCTGCCCAGTGCTATGACCCTGGGAGCACCAGGTCCTTTCTGGGTCTAGTTGCTACATCTGTAAAGGGAGCACTTTGGTTTTGGGCCCTCAAGGTTCCCCCTCCTTCTCTGACAGCCTTTGCTCCCCCATAACCTTTCAGTTCCTGATGCACAGCCCTCAGTGGGTGTGCAGTAATGTTTATCCACCGTGCAGTCCCAGGCCACTTGGTTCTCCTGATGTTGTGTTAGGGTAAACATCAACAATGCGCAATGACATGCAACAACATTCCAGATGGGAGCCACTCCCTCTGTCAAGGGCAGACTGCTCCATGGCAAACTCATTTGCCTTTTCTAGGAAGTTAAATTTCCAGTAGTGCAAGTATTGTGGTCACAAAGAGCCTGGAGAGGCTCTGCTGGGAAGAGAGGTGTGTTTTCCCCTAAAGACAGAACCTGGGGGCAGAGGACCAAACTGCCCCCTTTATGACTTCTAAAGCTCTTGAACAAGGGCAGAGGAAACAGATGGATTGTCAAGACTGTGGAAAGAAGTTCTAAGTCCAGCTCAGAGCTGAGCACATCTCTCAGCTGCCAAATGGAAGGTCTCTATGTGGCAATGGTGGGAGGGAAAATTGAGTTAGGCTGGCTTGTTCCAAATAAAATGCTATATTTAATTTCACTCTGGGAAACATTTGATGTCTGGGCTACTGCAATAGGTGAAATATACTTAAGAAGATCTGTTTTGTTACAACAGGAAGAAAAAAAAAGGGCAGAGAGGTCCCCATATCGGCTGTAGGTTACACATATAGGAATCGGGTCATTTCAGTTTGTTTTTTAATCCTCTAGCAGCTGCTGACCATAGGTTGACTAGTCAGTATCTAGCAGCCTGAACGTCATTGTATGAGTTATATATGTCTCAATATTTCAGTCTGGGAAATGCCTTTCAAGTAAAACAAGACACTCGGCACGGGAGGGAAGCTGTCAGTCTTAAAGCTGGTGATGTGCATTTGTGTGCTTGACATATGGGAGGAAAGGTTGAGTTTAAACCTGTGCCAGATTAAACCAATCCTGCAAATATGTGTCTGACTATTTGTTTTAAAAGTCAGCCTGGTGGAGTCTTGTTTCTAAAATTGCAGTGCCGTGCCCTTTGTGATTGCCAGGAGCACTGTGGTTTTGGACACTTCTCCTCTAGAAGAGTACCCTTGTGCCTTGGTGGGCTATGCAGAGAATTTGGGAAAGAGTCCACAGGACTACTTTACTTTCCACATTGTCCCCATCCCTTATGGTTTCCATGTGCCTCTGGCCTCACTCTCCTTTTCTTTTTTGGTGTGATGTCAGAAGAAGCTCTTCTGCTTCATCTGCCCTCATTTGATCTCTCCTCAGAGGGCCTAGCTGAGGCAGAGAGACCAACAGACAGTGCTTCGTACTCAACTCAGAAACTCCTGTCTTTCATTTTATCTGGCCAACTAGGAACTAAGCGTTTTGTTATTATTCATTTATTGAAAAAAAAAATACAGAATCAAGTCTTTTCAAGGATTGTGCCACTCTCTAGAGTGGTCAAATACATCTCATGTCCAGTCATGTCATGGAAGTGGTCAAATATATTTCATGTCCAGTGTTTCCATCAGACTTCCAGAGGGAGAGCTCCAACCTTCTTCCCTGAAGTTGGCTTGGCTTTATCCCTTCCTGATGATTCAGATTAGAGAAGGAAACTAATCTTTTAAAATGACTAGGTTTTTCTTTGGGGCATCTGAAACCCTGGAAACATTTTCTTTCACACACACCATGGGCTTTATTGTATCTGAGGCACTGTCTCAGGCAGGGCCCTGGGAGAAAGAGAAAATGCATGCTATGTGCCCTGCTGACCCAGGGCCAAAGGGAGCCCAGGAGAGTGGCTGTCCTTGAAGAGGACTCTGATGCTGGGTAAACCCCAGACATTGACCTGACAGAGGAATCATACAGGGAAAGCTGTTCTTACCTGTAGAGAGGGTTTCCTGCTTTTCAGAGGTGGAAGGAAATGGTTCTTTGCTTCTTGCATCCAGAATCAGCACAAGCTTGTGGAAAGGACTGGGAATCTGGGCACCTTGGTTCTCAAATGGTGCCATGGCCACCCGGGACATTGTGTAAAAAGCACATGTTAGATAGGTGTGTATTGGAATCCTGATATAATCCATTTGTGATTTCCACAAAGCTGGGTTTCCTAACCTGTAGGAGTGGGGATAACAATGCTTCAGAGAGTCACCTGGAGGCTCATATGTAGTCATACATGTCACGTGCAGTGCTGGCTCTCTTGTGGGGGCTCAGCAGTAGGCAGTTGGTAAAGCATTGCTTCTGCCCACCCAGGAGTACAGCAGTGCTGATGTGGGTGAGAGTCTCACATGCATGTCCATGGCTGCTGTTGTAATCTAGAGATCTGATGTATACACCTTTTATATTTTTGTTTTTAATAATATGTGAGGTCTTCAAATTGTGAAAAACAGTTGTATTGCCCTATTTGTATCTTATTAACCTGGACAATTTAAGTATCTCTATAATATGAGAGAAGACACTTTTGGGTGTTTTCGTATATGTTGTAACTTCTTATGGTAAATTTTCCATTTTTATTTATTTATTTTTTTTGAGATTAGTTTTAAAGGATGTAGATTTTTGTTTTCCAATGCAAAAGGGCCTCCTTTTGATGCCTGGTTAGATTCTGCTGGGTCTGTCTGATGCAGGTGAGGCAT